GGGTATAGGATCTATACAAGAAACAAACCCAAGCATAAATCAAAATGTAAAGCAAACAAGGCAAACAAGTAAAACAAATAAAGGTGATCTAGCTCTTAAGGTAACCCCACTTTTAGTTTATAACTTCCCTAACAAAGTCTCCAATTCTATGATACGGTGGGAGAAATGACTTGGTGTTTTGCGTTTTATCTCAAATGTTACGGATAGCAAGAGTCGCCACCGACTTTTCTTTTATCCAATAAAGGAAAGGATGAAAAGAACAGGAAATACCTTTTGAGAATTTTCTTGAGTTCAGGGGTAGGTTATGAAAAGGGAAGGTGTTAGCACCCTTTTCATCCATAGTTATCCACGGGCTCTTAATTGCTAGCTCACTTTGAAATGCTTTGCGTTTTGTGTAATTTTGAAAATATTTTGAAAATGCCTTTTTTCGGAAAATTTTGTAATGATTCTCGTATCATTGAGAATGCATGCAAAGTGTTGGTTTTAAAGATGCCTAATGTAAGGCAATTTTGTAATAATTCTCGCATCATTGAGAATGTATACAAAATGTTTGTTTGAAAATTATTTTGAAAGTGTGAGGTGTGAAAGATTGTTTTAGTTTATGAGCAAGCAATTATGAGCAATCTACCTACTCAAAAAAGTATTTGCTCTTTTCCTCCTCCTTTAGATAGTGCTACTTTATCATTGATTGGTAGGGAGCCGTATCATTGGATGTGAGGGACAAGCGTGGGTCATCGTACAGTCATAAAAGACAACTTGTAAGATGTTTTAGCATTTTTCATAAGGGACTAAGATCGTTTACCGAAGACAACATGGAAGGGTCATCGAGGGACTACGATCTTCTAATTGATGGTATTTTGCTAAAACATTCCACATTCGAGGGACATGACTGTTTTAATCTGAGGCAACAAGTGAGGTTAACCCTGGAGGTGCATGTGTGCAAAGTGTTTATTTTCATGCATTTTATCTTGAATTTAGGGTTGTCTAATGTTTGATTTTAAATCTTGCCATGCAAACCCTAATTACTAACAACAATAAAGAAAGCGATAAATTGCAGATTTAAATATCCTATGCTATTACAATACTTTGGGAATGGGAGATACAAGTTTTTGAATGAAGGGGTGAAAGTAAAAAATCCCTAATTACCTATTACAAACCATTGAATAGGAATAATAAAATGCACAAAATGTAAAGATGAATAAGAAAGAAAAGAAAGTGTTTTTTTTGTGGTTTTTTTTATGGAAAAAAGGTTTAATATTTTGACATAATTGATGATTTTATGTTTGAAAGAAATTAGTGAACCTAAATAAATTAACTAAGATAGAGATTAATTAAAAGGGGAAATGATTTAAATATAGAAAAAACCTAAATCTAAATTAATTTTAAAAGAGAAATTAATTATTAAAAAGTCATTTTGAAGTTTTATTTGTTTGGAAAAAATGAAGAAAAATAAAATAAATAAATCTAATTATTCAAAAAAAATATTTTTGTATTTTTGGTAAAGTAAAAATAAATAAATAAATAAAAATAAAGAAAATATAAAGAATATAAAAAAAATATTGGGTCTGGGTGTTAGAAAGTAAAATGGGTGTGAAAAAACATTTTTTGTTAGGCCCAAAGTAAATTTGTTTGGAATCCGAAAAATAATAAAAGGAATGGGCCTGCGTTGTTATGAGTAATTTAGGGGTGTATGAAAGCAAAAACAAAAAAGAATGAGGCCCAAGTTCTGGGAAGCCCGACGCTTGTTTACTATCCAGTATGGCCAGCTCTTGAGAGTGTATCATGGTCTTGCATTACGGAGCGTGAGATTTAGCCAGATGATGATCATGTGGTGATAGCGAGAGGAACACCATCCGCGCCCCCAACCTGTTTGTATTGAATCTGAAATAACAAATTATGTGGAAAATAAAAGGGTACAACTGGGGCTCGAACCCATGTCCCTATGCACAAATGCCTTAGCGCGCGCTTCTCTACCACTGGGGTGGTTGTTTCATCCGTTTATAATACAACTTCAACTAAATATTTAAAAAAAACTTATTTCTGAATTTTGAACTTCATCTTCTTCCTCCTTTGCGCACTAACAATAACAACAACACCATTTTTTATTTTTTGGAACTTCCTCATTTCTCAACCAAATCAGAAAATATAAACATGAAACTTGCTTGAAATTTCACCACGAATCCAACCATATAAATTTCATAAGCTATAAATCAAAGATGAATGAGAATTTTGTTGGTACCAAATTAAAACCTAATTTTTTCAAAAACTTCATTTCCAAAATTCTCCATGTACAATTAACATAAATGAAAACTAAAGGCATGGTTATCTTCAGGGCAATGATGTTTATATTTTTTATTCACAAAGTAACCAATGATGATGCTTGTATAGGAAGTTCAAAGTTGAGAAAACTTACCTCAAAATTGGAAATCGTGTTTGGATTTTGAGCACTCCTGGATGTGTTGTGATGATCTAGATAGCTTCACTGAACTCCTAAGAAGCTATTGTAATGCTTAATTTGAGCTGAAAGTGGCTGGAACTTTATGGAGAAGTCAAGTTGCAGGTTGCTATTTTTGAGTTTGGAGAATGATGAAGATGAAGTTACAGTTATGAAACAGAGGTGGGGATGAGTTGTAGATGATGTGTAGATGATGTTTGAATGATTTAGAATGGGAACGCATGAGGGGATTAGGTGTTTGAATTTTTTGGCCAGAAGTTGCAACAATGGAGGTTTTGTGTATAATTTTAAGTTTCAGGGAGTTTGAGAGGGTTAGAGGGCTATTAAAATCGTGCTAAGTCTTACAAACAACCTCTCTATTTATATAGAAAAGGTTTTAGAGGCTCAAGTAATCAGAAATCAAAGATCACATGTTATGGTTATGTGACTTGATTTTGAAGCAGACTTGAAATACATAGCTTCAACGCATAGTACAAAGGCTCCTAGGGTGGTTAACAGGTCGTAGATGGTTAATTCTTGGCTTTGACATTGTGTATGTTCAAAAGAAACAATTGCGAGGCTCAAGGACAATGGACTTTGTGATTAAAGCCACTTTTCCAAAATGGAAGTCTTGGCTTTCTTTCCTAAATGGATAATCAACTTGGACAATGTTTGAATCACTTAGACAATGGATCAATCAGTTGTGTAAACATTAAATTATTGAGTGATTTGTAAGTTAGAAGGTCTGCAAAGCAAGATTATGCAACATGCTTGAATATTGGATCATAAGGTTCATCATAAAATAACCTAAAATTCAAGTTTATGATGCCATCTTCACCTCTTCGAAACTTCTAGCTCAAGCATGATCTCTTCAAGTTCTTGAAAATTTTAGAAAGTTTGAAACATTGTATACAACCTTCATGTTGACCAATTTGGCTAACTCAACTTGGAACTTGGTGAAAAATTGCCAAGAAGTTGGGACAAAAATCTGACCAAACTTGCTGAAAATTTCACTAAGTGTTTTGATAAAAATGTCATGACTTTATGCGTCTATATCTCCTAATCCAAGCATTTTTTGGACATCAACCCTAAGGTACAAAGTTGTAGAATTCATCAAGATCTACAACTTTCATGTTGAAAGTTTTCCTTGAATCATCTTGCATCTTGGTGAAAAATTGTCATGAAGTAGTGAAATTAAAACACTTAGAATTTTTCTAAGTATTGAAAATATTGACTTTTGTTGACTTTCTTGACTTTCTTGATTTTTGACGATCAATTTTGATATTTTTAAATATCTTGATTTTTAAAATTCAAATTTGACCAAAAAGTCATAGTTTGACTTTTTGTGTATCAGTTAACTTTTCATCGGTTGATCCAAATTTCAACTATCAATCCTTTGATCTTTAGAAATGATTTGAGCCATGAAATTAGGTCAAAATATTGTGTTTGAATCCTTAAGATCATGCTTCAAGCCATTAGGTCATGTACTAGGTCAAAAGTCAATGATCAGTCACTCTCAGTCAAAACCCTAATTTTGACAATTTTGCCCCTTTGATGATTTGAATGTTTTCTTGAGGAATTATGATCAACCCTTGATCAATTGATGAATATGACTTCAAAATGTTGATCTTGGAAAAAAATCATGAAGTTTGATTGTATGTTGATCACACTTGACATTTTATCCAATACATATGATTTTGAGTCATCTGAGCAATTGACTGAACAAATTTGTAGTGCAAGATTTGAAACTTGGTATGAGCAATCTTGGAGACCTATAGTGAACCATGAAAGTCACTTGAGGCATTAGAAATCCAATTTTCCTTGAGAAAACCAAAACCCTAATTTGTGGCCTCAGTGCTTAGGAGGTGAGCTTGTCTGATCAACTCTTTGAGAATCCTTGAGCTTTTGAGATCTTTTGTGAGAAATGTCTTGAAGAAAAGGGAGGGCAAACTTTAGGGTACAACACGAGTCTTTCATATAATTCCCAGAGTCTGTCTCGTATCATACATCATTAAAAAAAAGTATCAAAAAGATTCATGCATCCATTGTATTCTCGCGACACTTCATTCACCTCATACCCATTGCATCTCACGACAAATTTTCGGGTTCTTTGATATTTAATTATCTCCCACGACGATTATATGAAGCTTGATCTTCTTTATATCATTTTGTTGAAGATATTGAAATATGGGCAGTTGTTGCACTCTAAATTATACTCCGTGTTTTCTCATTCGCATAGTTTATATCCAAATTATTTTCACACATATCCTTGTATTTCTTCGCGCATTTTTCCTTTATATTTGCTTTAAAATTTTCATTCAAATTTATTTTTCTTTTTTACTTTTAGATAATCAGTGTTCGAGTTTTTATTTTATTTTTTTGGAATTTATTAAAAAAAATATCAAAAAAAATTGTATTTTATTTAATTTTAATTGAGAATTTTGTTTAGTTTTATTTAGATTTAATTTTATTAATTAGAAAATAGATATCTCAATAAGAGCTTTTGGTCATTTGACAATACCTAGTGGATAAGGTTTTTTTTTATTGGATACAAAAAGGGTGGCTGTCAGATGACAACAGAGAAAAGAAAGACCCAAATCTCTCTTCCACAGTTCATCTGTTCATCTCACCACCCTGTTCGAATAACCACCATCCCCAGTCCTCTGTATACCATCTCAACCGTCCGCGCTACTTACCGCGAGCATCATCAACCTCCCTATAGCCGTTAAGCCCTCTGTTTCCTCACAAACCCATCTTCGCTCAACAAGCCGAGCTCCCTCCAACCGTAATCCTTTCGTTCCACGCCGAAAACTTACCTCTGCACCATCATCAACCTCCCTATTGAATTTAATTGACATTGTTGTTGGTATTACGAGTTTATTGTTGAAAATAACTTCAATGACATTATGTTTGTTTTGTGCTAATTGAAAAAAATGGATTGATGATGTTATTGTGTGGTTAACCTTGAGCCAATTATTGAGTGAACCATGGATGTCGGTAATTGACTCGAATTGTTGTGCTAAAGTTGTAATTAATTTTTTCAATGTTGTCATTTGCTTCGATTTTGAATGATTAATTTGTTATGAAAGTACTTGTATTGGCCTTAATTTTGATTGAGTTTTTAAAAGTTGTGTCTTGTTGTTTGAGATAATTTAAAGGAGTTTTCGCAACGTTTTAGGTGTAATTTGATTGGACTTTGAACGGTAAATTTGGTTATGGTATTGTTGTGGACTTCGTTTGCGTTGAACATTTTTTTGAGGGGATTTTATTGAATATCAATCGGTTTAGGAAGTTTTTGCCCGAATTTTGGTTTAAGGGTTTGAAATTTACTTTGAATTCGAATTTTTAATATTGCAACGTGAATTTTCACTCCTTGTTTCATTTGTGATTGGAAAACAATGTTTATTGTTGTGTTTACTTGACTTTGAATGTGTTTAGCACAATGAATGCAATGCTGATTTTTGCTATTTACATTGAGTAATGACATAAATTCTTGATTTTTGAAAAGTGTTTGTGTTAAATTCATGCAAGTTTCATTTAGTTTTCAATTCCTCCTGTGTTGCTGACAAATTTATTATTGTGTAGCTTTTAAGTAACTCAAGTGTTCACTTCATCTTAATGCTATTTTGTTGCTTTTAGTTAATTAACTAAAAGTCAATTTAGTTATTTGATTTCGTTATTAAAAATTAATTAGTTTTGTTAATTAATTTTTCTTAACTTAATTAATTAACTTTTAATTAAGTAATTAAGCATCCATTTCATATTTTATTTGTTTCATTTAGTTTTGGTTTATGTTTCTGTCGTAACCTGCAAAAAATAACGAGTCGCCACTGAAACAGTCGGCCGAACCATCATCAGATATAAAATCAATGAAGTTGTCATTGAACGTCTTTTATCCCGCCGAAAAGAAAAGGCGAACATCGAGTAAACCTAAAGAGGGAGAAATCAAGGTCTTTCAACTAAGAGACCGGGTAAGGGAGTCTGTTACACGAGGGGAATGTATTAACACCCCACACGCCCATAGTACTCTACGGTATCCACTCTTGTTATTCTAATAAAAGGGTGTGTTTCAAATCTAATGCTTAAGAGCTAAAAAAGAAAATACAAAGAGGAAATGCATCCAAAAGCAAAGAGAAAATAAAGTTGTGCTCGTTCGAGCCCTACCCTAATGTCTACGTATCCCTTTTAAGGAATCAGAGCAGTCGTAGTTCGGCTCACATGTTTTGGTTGGTTTGTATTTTTTAATGAACAATATTAATTACACCTTCTGCCGCAACTCGACCTTTGGAGACTCACGCGTCAGCACAGAAGTGAATTAACATATTCTTTTGAAAAAGTTTGAAAGAAAGGCCCGAAGGCGTAAGAAGTTTGTATTGGTTGATATCTTTAACCTTGAAAAAGGATTTGAAAATTGTTAGATGCCTTATGCATTTGCCAAGAAAAAGAGTTTTAGTCTTATTGCAAGGATGCATAAGAAAGAAAAACATCTAAGGGAAGCTAGCTAGAATCTAATCCTAATGTTATCATACAATGATTGACCTTAAGGTTGAGTTTTGAAAGGGAAATCTCTACTCTATGTTAGCATGCATGGATACCTATCCTAATGTCTAGCTCGAAAGCTACTTTAATCGAGCGATCCTAAGGGGACATGATATATCAAACAAGTGCTTTTGGAAAAAGCACACAATCGAGGTATACTGACTTTAGGGGAAGGGGGTATGAAGAGAAATTGCTTTAGCTAAGGGGAGCAGATCACCCAAAGCAAACAAGCGGGAGACAGATGAAATAAAAAAGAAAAGAAATGTTTTAGCTAAGGGGAGCGGATCACCCAAAGAAAACAAGCGGGTAGCGAAGTGTCAACAATGGTTATTGTGAACTCCTGACAAGGTGTGGGGTTTGGTTGCGAACCATTCTCCACATGACCAACTCGATACGCAAGATATGCACAACTCCTAAGCATCGACGTATAACGTGAGCTAAAGATGACACCAACTAGAATGTGCGGGGGTCGATTGCGAACCCATTTCACGCGCCTCCTTTTGAGGACTTATTATGGTGATGGATATGCAAGCACAAATGTAAACACACCTGCAGAATACCTACTTCAAAGGTAGGATCTTAAACAAGCACAAGTAGCACACAAAAGGCATATAATGCGGAATTGCCCTAAACGGGTCTTCAAATAAACCAGAGGGGCTCCTGACATAATCATCAACGGAAATCCCCATCATACATTTCTATTCCTACTCTCATGGCATCACAAAGCAGTAAAGTTCCTACTTTTCATGATATCTAGAAAAGCGGTAAAATACGGAATGAGATAAACAAGAGAAAATATCAAACAAATATCAATATGTAGCAAAGTGTATCAAAACAAAGAAACCCAACGATCTTCGCGAAAGCTTCACCAATCAAGGAAAAGAGTCAGAAATCAAATGCTCGAAATAAGTGTCGAAGCATCATCGATGTGAAAATAAATCACAATCAAAATCTCGAGCATATCCGCTTATCACACAATAAACTTGCATAAGACTCAGATCTCAATAAGCAAAGGTGAATCGCAAGTCTCGGATAACCACAATTTAATTCCTAAAATCAAATAAATATCTAACAAATTTTATTGATTTTATTATTTTTCATGTGAATAAAAAAGTTCAAACATATTGAAATGACTAACAACAATAAAAAAAAGAATTCCAAATATAAAGAAAAAGGCCCAAGGGGGTGCAAGTTTATGAATGGGGATATATCAAATTGACAACACGATTTAAAAGTCTAAACAAACAAACAATTCAGCCCAATCGAAATTAATTAAACAATTAATTAAATCAAACTATTTTATTTTATACCATTAATTAATAAAATAATTAGTGATATCAAATAATATTTTTCAATCTAATCAATTGTTTAAAACAAAAATATATTTTTTGTATTATTATTATTTTATTATTATTTTTATTTATTTTTAATTGCTAAAAAAATATTCAAACAAAACAATACAAAATAAAAAGAAATATAAAGAAAGAAAAAAAAGTTTGGGCCTGAAATCAGCAATACAGGGGGTGCTGGAAGAAAAATGCCCAAGGCCCAACAAGAGCTCCAGTGCTTGATCCAATAAGGACAACTTCAAGGGGCACAACGTGAGGAGGCGCTTCTGGGAGTGTTGGATCAAATCTGTGAAAATCTGATGGTTAGATGCAGCGAGGTGCCTCACAAGATTAGTGAGCAGGCGCGCGTGAGATCTGGCAGATCTGATTGCTGCAACCTCTGAGAGTCTATCGTGGGCGTGCGCTTCTAGGCCGCTAGACCTGGATCTACAAATATCTGATGGAGGAATGAACGAGGATGCGTAGTTGATACTGTGGGTGCACCTGCACAGAACAACCAACAATCATAAGGGCGGTGACAAGTGTCACCGCCAGATTAGTAATTAAACCAAATTAAATTTATACAAAACAGAACATTAGTGACTAATATAATCACAAGAGACTTATGTCTCTCTCTCTCTATCTCTCTCTCGCTCTCTCTCTTCATACGTGATTCTCTTCATTTTTCTCTCTTCATAAAGCTCGTATGAGAAGACGCTTCCGCCGCGCCGAAAATCGCCTCGCGGCTGCAGCGGCGAGCTTCAAACTTGCTCTGATCCTTGATTTCCTTACATATTCATGTTCGTATCTCTTCTCTGGTCACTAATCCGGTATTAATTTTTGCATATGCTTGACTGTTTCGCGTAGATCTTGAAATGAAAAACGAAACTCTAAGTTACTTAGATCGATCGATTAGCCAAGATTATGCATGAATGATGACATGCAGTAAAGAAACGGGAAAGAGGCGGAGGAGCGGAGACGAGATCCGATCTGTGAAGCTCAAATCTGTGCGTTTTACATCAATACTTCTGGTGAGATCTTTCCATCTCTAAACTCTGGCTTTCTATGAATCATTGTGCTTGTGATTTCGAAATCTTTTCCTCTTCTCCTTTCTCAAATTTCTGAAGGGTTTGTTGATTAGGAAGAGGATGATAGAATAGGGTTCATTGCTTGAAATCCTGATGCGGTTGTGTTAGCTTGATAGCCTCTTTTATGTGATGTTCTGTGATTTGGTCTAGAATTTATTTGGGAAAATGATGAGAACGAATCTTAAAGTTTGAGAGAGCAGAGAGAATTTTGTGGAGATTTTTTCTGTGATTCTTCCAATTATTAGAGAATCATCTTGAATCAGTGTATTTTCTGCTTTTATATCTGTTACGAGTTGAGAAGTTAGTTATCACTTGACACAATCTTGGCCTTCAATTTTGAAAGTTTGTTACAAGAATTAGAGGGTGGGGATTAAGTTTGTGAAACTTGCTTGAGAAGCTTTAAATAAATTGTTGAGCTGTAATTGAATTTTGCCTCTGATTTTTAGTAACAGGCCCGCTTGCAATTGTTTTTTGACTTAACATTGATATGTTATTGTGATGCTTGGGATGGAGCTTGCGATTTCTATAATGTGAACTTTGTTTTATTTTGGGCTTTGAACCTGTAATTTTGACTTGATGCTTTTGTGATTTGTTGGTGAATCTGAACTTTCACTGTGGTAATTCTATTATGTTGCTTTGGGCTGGAATTGTTATATCTTTGCTTTTTGTTACTGTAGTAAATTGTTTTTGTCTTTACTGTGAATAACAAATTTGTCTTTTTGTGATTTGTAGTAAAGATTATGGGCCTATGATTTAGCATTGAAATCTGATTTTGTTGTGAAACATATTGTATGAGGCCTTGGTTTCGGCTTGAATGTGATTGAAAACCACCCTTAATTCTGATTCCTTACGAAAAAACCTAGTGGTGAAATAAAGAGAAACTCTTTGAAAACTTTCTTTTTT